CATATTGTACATCAAAAAGATAAATTTAAAAGTATGTTAAATTATATTAGGTGTTGGAATTAATTCGTAGCGTTTTTTAATGAAAGAATGTTATTTATTTCACATGAGCATTAAAAAAAGCATTAATGAAAGTACTTCCCATCACTTGTAAAACGCTACGAATTAATTCCAACACCTAATAAGTAACAATAAAAAGTTGTTTTTTAATAGTACTTGTGAGTCGAACAGAAACACCAGTGGATAAATCATAAAATATTACATATTAAAATCACTGACAAGATCTCAAAAAGATATGTATCATCAATGTGAAAAAAAGACCAGTAAAATATAATATAATATACGCAAGGAAGTGGTGCGGAAAAGAGGAGATTGGTTAAAGAGGGGGAAGCTGATCAAGGAAAGGAAAGTATATGTCTGGCAGTCTCTTAGTATCACTCTGTTTGTTAAGTCCATTTTTATGTCTTTTTATGAATATCATTTCCGAAATTAATCTTCTGTAATAAAACGGCTCTATGTCAAAATACTTACATTCCAACAAAAATTATGATTCGTTTCCAATCTATGGTTCAAAATTACCGACAAAGCACCCAAGGATTTATTAATATCTGCTGAATATTCCTTAATTTTAGTCTGTAACTGGCGTTTAGTCTGTCTCACATAACTTGCGTCACAATCTTCGCAATCAATTTAAAAAATCAACTCACTTTTTTTCTTCTTTCCAACTGATCTTTCCCCGTTTTATGAATTGTTTCAATAAGTTTAAGGGTTTATAACTAATTTGGCATTCGTGCTTTCTGGCGACAGTTTTTAAAGTAGATGCGACGTTGTTAATATACTCCATGGGCTGAAAAGTCCCGGGATTTTTCAATAGGTGGTGCCACTAGAAAATGAACATGATTCATTTCGAAAGATTCATCTATCACTTTACTACTACTACCACTAGTTTATGTATGAAGTTTCATGACATTTCGTTCATTCGTTTACAAGCTACAGTCGTTTAAGTGGCGTTACTTTCGCCTTCGTAAAAAAAATGGAAAAACAGGAATATCGCATCTTAATCAAACATTTTTGATGGGAAAAACTTCTGAACAATCATTGAAATGGTTCAGAAATGTTATCCCACATCTGCTCCTTCGAGAACAACAGTTTATCGGTGGTTTAGTGAATTTAAAATGAGTCGTACAAGCACCGAAGACGCACCTTGCTCTGGAAGGCCAAAAGAGGCTACGAATGCGGAAATCGCAAAGCAAGTGCATCGAATCGTTTTGAGTGACCGTAAAGTGAAGTTGCGCGAGTTAACTGAGGCCGTGGGCATTTCAAAAGAACGGGCGGGATACATTTTGCACGATGTTTTGGAGATGAAAAAGCTAGCGGCACGATGGGTGCTGCGTTTGCTGACCATCGACCAAAAACAGCAGCGCGGTGAGTATTCAACGGTCGATTTGGTGTTGTTGCAACGTAATCGAGCGGACTTTTTTCGACGTTTTGTGACGATGGATGAAACGTGGGTCCATTACCATATGCCTGAGTCCAATAGGCAGTCTGCAGAGCTGGAAAGCCACGAAAGCCGGCCAAAGCGGCCAAAAGACCAACGCTCGGCCGGGAAGGTTATGGCCTCCGTTTT